CCCAGCTCCCCACGCCCCGCGTCCCCTGCTCTGCAGGGAACTTCTTAGCCATCTACCTGCCCTGAGGGGAAAGCAGAACTCAGAGAGGCACAGCCAGACTTAAGGTCACACAGCACCAGCCTTGGGGCTGTCCAGCAGCCCCCCCAGGGCCCCAGGGAAGCAGTGGTGCCCACTCTTCAGCTCGCCCCTGCCCTTGTGCTACAGGGGCCACTGCAGCCCCGGAGGTGGAAAGGAGGTGGACAAGGAGGTGGACAAGGAGGTGGGGGCAGGGGTGACCGCAGTCCCCGGGGCCGCATCAGGACACTGTCATTTTTCACTCCAGGACACTTGGCGATGACAGCCCCGCCTCGTCAGCTCCTTTATCTTCCTCAGTGTGGGGCCTTTTGTGCTTTGGCAGCAGAATCTGTCCCTCCTCTGGCTTAATCCCTAGCCGAGGCATCTCTGGGGCCACCGGACCAGAACAGACAGATGGGCCACTGTGGCCAAGAGCTCCCATCTGCCCCCGAGCCCTGGGAGGCCCGGGAGAGAGACCGATGCTGGCACAGGACCCTGAGCCGCTCTGGCTTCTCTGCTTCAGAGGGGGACGCAACCCTGCTCCCATCCCCAACTGCTCAGCCCAGCCCCTCCCTTCCCAGCCTTGCTGCCCCAAAGGGGGCAGCCCTCCAGGCCTGAGGAGCCCACCGTGCTGGGCATGCTGCCTCAGTCTGCCCAGCCTCCATGACAGGGACCCAGTCACGCCTGCATTGACAGGAGACAGGGCTCCTAGCACTCCGGGCGGCTTTCTAGGCAGGCAGCCTGCTGACGGGTAAAGGAGACCAGTGAGCCCTGCGTTTCTACACTTTCTCTCCGATGACAGGAGGGAGATAGTCCTTATCCCCATGTTTCTGGTGGGGAAACCGAGGCTACGGGGCAGTTAAACAACCTGCTCCAGGCCGGCAGCCTGTTGCTGAATGCACTAAGTTCACATGGGGAGGGTGCTCCTCTTCTCTTCCCCTCCCCCACCTCTAGGTGCTCGGGGGGCGGGCACCTGGGCAGCTGCTTTGGAGAGATACGAGTAGGGGGCGGGCCCATTCCCTGGTCACCAGGCGGGATGGGGCACAGGCGGGGCGGCAGGCTGTGACACCCCTGGTTCCCTGCTGGGCGATTGTGCGGACTCTCCGGCTTTCCCCTCATTTATTTCCCATTTCACGCTCGTCATTTTTCTCCTGGCCTGACGGGACTAATTCTCCCGCTCTCCTCTCCTTTATTTTGCTGGAGGGTTTGAAAGGCTCTAAATCAATGCCCATCAGCCAGGTCCTTGAAGCAGCCCGCGGGAGCCAGGAGCGAGAGTGCGGCCAAAACCTCACTTGCAAACAGAGCAGCCACTCTGCACGCTCCTGCCCGCGAGCGGACACGGCGCGCACACGTGCACACAGACACAGGCCTGGCCCACTCCGAGGGCATGGGACGCAGGCACACACTTGCCTGCACAGGAGCTTGGAAAGTCATTGGGGTGGCCCCTGCCTCAGGGGCCAGGGCCAGTGCCCCCTTGGGGGGGGGGCGGGCACTGGGAGAGTCCCAGTTCATATGTGCTAGTCTCTCTCTGACAAAGAAGACCCAACCTGACCTGGCAGAGCTGGGGGAAGAAAGGTGAATAAGGCCTTCAACAACTTTCATTCGCAAATACTGTGAACGCGTACAATGTGCCTGGCACAGGGGCTCAACAGGGAACAAGACAGATGTGATTCCAGCAGGGGAGGCAGATGATGGAGACAATAGCTACCATTTATCAACCGCTCACCACGTGCCTGTGTATTTTGGCTCATTAAGTATGAACTACAACTCTTTCAGGTGGGGACACTACCTCCATTCTCCAGATGAGGAGACTGGAGCACAGAGAGGTTAAGTCACTTGCCCAAGGTCACACAGCCAGTAAGAGGCATGGCCAAAATGAGAGTCTAGACATTTTGGTACTAGAGGCTGTTCACTGAATCACTGTGCTCTACTGTCTCTTAATAAGCAAGGAACCCAACAAACAAATAAACACAGGTTTGGGGAACCAGCTCTGAAAGAAACACGGGGGGCAGAGCTACATTAGGCAGGGTAGTTAGGGAGGGCTTCTCTGTGGAGGTGGCATTTTCATCTGGGAGACTGGAGGAGAAGAAGCCGGCCATGGAGAGAGCAGGGCTGGGGGAGTAGAGGAGGAAGAGCACTCTGGCAGGGGTGGGGAGGGGGAGGAAGAGCTGTGCAGAGGCTCCAAGGTGGGAAGAGCTGAGTGGGTTCAGACACTGAGAGGCCGCGTAAGTGCTGGGGCGAGGGGTGCGGTGGGTGAGGAGGGTGGTGGGAGATGAGTCAGGAAGTGGGTCAGCCTCCCGCCACCTCTGGAGCTGACTCCTCACACTTCAGCAACAGCCCCCACCTCACCCAGGGTCACTGTGAGGCCTCAGCAGGGGGCCCCTCAAAGGTATTAAAACATATGCCACATATATACGCACACATATGTCTCATAGCTACGACAGCTGAAAGAATTGTATGACTATTCCTTTTGAAATTATTTTGCTGTGACAAACTCGATTAATGTATGACCTCTCTGACTTCCGGTTTCCTGGCAATCATTACACATAACTGGAAATTCCAGAGAATTCTGGAAAATTCTTAAGAATTCTAGAAAATCTAAGTGATAATTTGCCCTCACATGTAATGAGGTTTTTTTTGTGTGATGAGTTTTACAAATACTAAATTTCATAATTACTAAAGTGCCATAACATTCGGTAGCTGTTTAACACAAGCTTTAATTCTGATTTGGCTCTTCCCCTTTGGGACTTCTGAGCCACTGCATTCTTTTTCAGGTCTCAGTGCCATGGGTCACTGAAAGGCCCAAGCGCCCCACCCTGGCTGCCCGAGCTGGGGGAGCAACGGGCATGTCCGTCCTGCGCTGAGGGGCGGGCTCCCGTGCCTGTCTCCCCAGAGGTGACAGGGCTCTGGCAGGGACTCTGGCTCGTCCACAGGGTGAGATGGGCCCAGTGGTGGGTGTGACTGTCAGGAAGCTCCCTGAGGGCAGAGCAGAAGCAGTGCTGCTTCCTGGGCTCCGGGTGCGGGGCCTGGCACTCAGCAGGTGCTCACCGCGCGCTTGTTGAGGTTTCCTGGAGAGGGGGGAGTTGCTGGGCAGCAGGCCCCGGGCCCACTGTCTATACCTGCTCGGGGCTCAGAAGGATGTGAGGAAAGGCTGGCGACCACAGAAGGCCCCTGGGGACCAGATCTGCAAAAAGCCCAAGGCCCCGTGTAGTCCCAGCAGGTGGACTTCGATAACGGCACCCTTGGCTGGTACACCTCCCTCACGTGCCCCTCAATTCCCTGCGGGAGGAGATTCCCAGAAATATAAAGCAAAGGTAAGAGTTCAGGTGTTCAGAGGTGGGCATCCAACCCCAGCTCTTGGGGTCCCTGGCTGGGCTTGTCCAGGGCTAGAGCCCAAGTGCCCACGAGATGGCAGCAGAGAGAGCCCATCAGGTGTGGAGTCCTAGAGAGAGAGCCTGGAAATGGCCCAGGGTCAGGGTGTCCTACCCTGGCCCGGGCTGAAAGGAATCCCCTCTCCCACCAGGGCTTTGAAAAACCACATGTCCCAGATTCCTTGCCCCTGATCTACTGGACTCTCTGGGAGGGGATGTGCCCACTAGTTGAGAACCATTCAAATGTTGAAAACACAGAAAAGAGGATAGGAAGGTGTGATGGCTGGTTCGTTTTCTCTCTCTCTCTCTCTCTCTCTCTCTCTCGGATGTGCCTACCAGTTGAGAACCATTCAGATTTTGAAAACACAGAGAAGAGGATAGGAAGGTGTGATGGCTGGTTCGTTCTCTCTCTCTCTCTCTCTCTCTCTCTCTCTCTCTTTCTCTCTCTCTCTCTCTCATCGATGAAGAGTGGGGGCAGGGAGGCTAGGCATCTGCAGCCCGAGGTTGCTCGAGCTCCGGGTGGGGCAGCCTTGCTGGATGTGACAGTTACCATCCCTCCCCCATCGCACCGGGTTCTCCAGGTTCTCAGGACCCGGACCACCTGCCAGGGCACCCCTGAGCCAGCAGAGGCAGCAGGACTGCTGAGCTGGGTAGTTCAAAGTCAGACAGACCTGGGTTTGAGTCTTGGCTCTAGGAGCTTGGGCAAACCCCTCAAACTCTAAGTCTCTGTCCTCCATAGTACGATGGTAGCAATGAATCCATCTGCCACGTGAAATTGTCATGAGGATAAGAGAGGATTCATGAGAAAACCCAGCACAGCGCCTGGCACATCCAGACATTTGATAAATGGGGCTGCCATGAGCTGTTAGGTTCACGTCCATCACCGGGTGGCTGTGGGGCTGTGGGGCAGGGGACAAGCCTCCCGAAATGAGACCAAACGGGGCACAAGTATGGGGGGAACAAAGAGGGGTGCTCGTCCCTGAGTTTCCTCAGCTTCCCCTGGACCTCTATTGTGGATGCCCCGAGACTTTGGCCATTGTCTCTCCTTCCCACCCGAGTCACACCCTGCTCACAGCAGGCACAGGGGTCTGTGCAGACCTGACACCCCCATGCCAGCAGATCCCTGGGTGACCTTCGAAGCCCCTGCTGGGCCGCCCTGGGCCAGCTGACTGGTGGCTGTGGTGACAGAAGCGGTGAAGGTGCTGAGGGCAGATCTGAAGCTTGTGCAATTTGAGGGAGGGACCTGTGCCTCGCCAGGGGAGGTGGGGGCTGGGTTGTCACCAGAGTCCTGGGCTCTCAGGGCAAGCGTGGCTACCAGCTGAACCAGCCCTGGGATGCTGCACTCCCTTGGACCAAGTCTGAAGCCCAACGTCCCCGAGAACGGGGTGAGGGCTGTGCCCTGACCTCAGACTACCTTTCACCGTGCAGAGAGCTCCAGGAACTTCGCTCCAAGAGCTGGCGCAGAGGAAACATGAATCCATCAGCCCCATGGGCAGGCCCACAGAGCTCATGCGGGAAGGGTGGACACCCCTGGGCAGGGCAGACCAGGAGTTCCGCTGTCCCACCACCACGTACCGTGGTCACATCAGAGTCTGGAGGGGTCATCTCCACCAGGTTGATGTAGTAGGGAGCGTCCTTCCAGGTGGGGTGGTTGTCGTTGATGTCCAGGAGGGTGATGTTGACCTGTGAAGCCACAAGGGGCGCTGTGGGGTGCACCTAGCTGGGCTGCACCAGGACAGTGCCCAGGGAGGGGAACACATTCAGATGCCTGTGGAGCATCTTGGCATTAATCCCACCAGGTCAGGGCCTGGGCATTAATTCCACCAGGTCAGGGCCTGGGCATTAATTCCACCAGGTCAGGGCCTGGGCATTAATTCCACCACGTCAGGGCGTGGCAGGGGGAAGCAGGACCTTCCGAGGGGTTAGGTGCTGCCCCATCAGGAGGCAGAGGAACAGAGGAGATAACCCCTAAAATCCCTCCTGTGACCTGGAACTTGTCCCACCCACCCCTGGTCTGGACTAAAGGTGACTGACAGGGTAGGGGAGGTTTAGGATGGGCATCTACTAGGATCCCTTGAGCGTCCAAGTCAGTCTCAGCTATAAGCCAAGCAATTTCCCGGCTCACCTGTCACCAGGTAAATTATTTATGGAGCTCGGAATCCTATTAGCAGGGGCCTCCCGTGGCTGAATAAGGCACTGGGGACTTTTCTGCCAAGTCCCTGGCCAACCAATACCAACCCCAGCCTCTCTGGCTGGGCAAGGCTGGGGGCAGTGGCTGGGGCAGCTGCTGTGGGTGGGGGGAGGGCCATGGGGAGAGGTCAGGGGAGGGTCCTGAGGGAGAGTCAAAGGAAGCACATAAAGATCACGGGGGGCAGGTGACGGGATCACCTGGCAGCGGCCTTCCTGCTTCCTCTCCCACAGGCGCTTGCTGCTTCCCGCTCCCCCATTCTCTTCTGCAGCCAGAGCTCAGTCAGGACCCTCAACCGTCCTTCCTCTAGCTTCCTGCCCACCTTGGTGGGGTACAAGGCCTTGCATGGGGCTCTGGCCCCTCATGGGTCCTACTTGCTCACGTCTCAGGGTTAGGGGTGGGGTGGTGCAAGCCCCAGGGACCCTCTAAGGGCCCTGCTTCTGGCTCTGAGCCACTCAGAGAAATACCTGCTCCTCTAGAAGCCCATTGGGAGGGGCCTGTGGGTCACCTACCTTCTCCTACCTGGCCAGCTGGTCTTTTAGGGGCAGAGGAGAAAATATTTGTTCCTCCCAGTGCCCCCTTGTCCCAGGTGGGAATGCCTTTCTTCCCACAGACGTGGTGGCTGCAGGGCTGACCTTGGCTGACAGCAAGTTGGTGATTGACATCTAGTTGGTAGCCACCCTCACTCCACTCCCATGGTGCCTCACGCTACCTCAGGACAAAGTGCCTAGGGGCCTAGAGGTGTAGCCTGAAGAAGAGCTGGGGGCAGTGGCCTGGATGGCAAGCGAGGAGCTGGGGGGCGCAGGAGGGGTGGGCACTCACAGTGGCGATGCCAGTTTTCTGGTTGTGGCCCACGCCTCCATCCACTGCTCGTACGATGAGGATGTATTCAGACTTGGTCTCACGGTCCAGCAGGGAGGTGGTGGTGAGTTCACCTGCAGGAGAGAGCGGTGCAGGAGAGAGGGTTTGGGTGGGCCAGGGAGAGATTGGGGAGGGAGGGAAGAGCAAGGAAAGGAAGAGGGAGAGAGGGGAAAATAGAGTGAGGGAGAGTATGAAAGAGAGGTGCTTGGAAGATCAAATGAGCTGGCAGTGTGCGTGCATGTGTGCATATATGCTGGGGGTGGTGAGATGGTGCTCACGGAGGGAGGGGAGAGCACTCACACCTTGGGAACTGGAACCCCAAAGCTGGGCAATATAACTCCATGAGGAGGAGGTATTTTCAAATGTGGGAAAATCAAGGCCAACTCTGGGGCTGGTGGCTGGAAAACAGGGCAGAAGGGCCATCTGGCTTCGAGCTCAGACACCAGGGACCCCTCATTAGACTTCCAACACATCGAGAGCTTCACACATTTCCCAACTGTCCCTCATCACCAGACAGTTCAACCTACAGGGCACTGAGAATTCGTAGCTATAAAATCATTTCCTTAATTGCCTGTAACATAGTTACATTGCCTTGAAATTTATTTAGCATATAAACTAATTATTCTATTAAAGATAAACATTAACAATAGACCACAGCTTTTGTCAGCTGTTTTTGCCTTTTCTTTGTATTTTGGTCTCACAAAAATATGGCAGTCACCTTGGTAGTTGTGTGCTGGTAACTATTTGACAACCAGGTCACCAAAAGAAAAAGAGGCATCTGCCCATTGCCATGGTGTAAACATCCCCACCAGGCCCCTTTGTAAATGACCAACTTGATGGCATTGAACATGGAATTGGGGAGAGGTGCATACAATAGGCTATCAGGGCAGGAGTGAGCCAGTACCAGCCGGCTTCAGCACACGGGCCACTTGCCATCTCGCACAGGCATGGGAAAGAGCTTATGCTCTGAGGACAGTGAGACCCAGATTTGAATCTGATGATGGCCCTTCCCAGATGCTTGGCCTTGGGAAAGTTACTTAATTTCTCCAAACCTCCGTCTTCTCATCTGTGAGATGGCGATTAGTAGGCCTTTGGATCAGAGCTGTTGTGAGGATTAATTATAGGTGAAGCTCCCGACACTCAGAAAGTGCTGGTTTTCTTCCAATAGACTGTGAGAATTCTCCAAGGGTAGAGACTGTGTGCTATCCATATTTCTATCCCCACTGCCTGAGCTGTGCGACTTGAAGCAAGTTACTTAACTTCTCTGTGCTCGTTTTATCTTATCATGAAACAAGGGAGCTGGGCCAGATGGTCACTGGGACCCCTTCCACTGTCATACTTCCCTCCCTTCCATGCTGGCCTGCGCAGGGCTGAGAAGGCAGCTGGGGGTGAGGGACAGGGCAGCGAAGGTGCTGAGGCCTGGAATGAAAGACTGGCCAAGGTCTGCCTGCCTAGACACGATCCTTGGTGGGGTGGTGTCGATTAATTGGCAGGGCGAGGAAGAAATTAATCTCTAAAAAGTTTTAAACATGAACTTGTCGCCATGATAGATGGCTCTTCCTGTCTGGGAAATTAGATCCAATTAAGGCCACCTTGGTGGAGCAGGCTTGGCTAATTTGACCGAAGAGGTAAGAGGAAAACGTTTACACCTTCAGAGAGAAAGGAGCCGTGTGAAGGCAGCAAGAAAATGTCCCTGTCATTACTGAAAGCCCGGGGGGTGGAGCTGGGGTCCCTGACTGTGGAGGCAGGGCGGGCGCTGAAAGGTCAGCGAGTGCAATCGGTATCTGGGCGGCAGCATGAAGCTCTAACGTGGCTTTCTGTAAGGTAGCAGTTAACGTCTGGGCTCCGGAGTCGGAAGTTCAGGCTCTGCAGGTCCTCAGGCAAGTTAACCTCTCCTGTGCCTCAGTTTCCTCACCTGGAAAATGGGGAGAATGCTAGCGCCTGCCTGGCAGAGTGGTGAAGAAAGTGAAATGGGATGATGCGAGTCAGAGCACTGGCAACAGTGCTGAGCACTTGTCCATGTTAATGAGATTATTCTGAGTGCCCCCTCCCCATCCCCGGAAATGTGGGCTCACTAAGGGCGGAAGCTTCTGAGAGCAGGGAGAAAGGCCTCCGTATGTCAGAGGGGGAGAGAGAGGCTCAGGATGGCCTTGAATGTGTTCAGTCTCTGTACACATTTCAACCAGCCATCTGCTCCCCAAGCTCCCAGGAATAGGGGACCAAAGAGATTGAAGGCAGACTTCAATCAGGAAGGCGTGGTGACAGGAAGACTAAATGCCCCACTAGCCCCTGAACACCTCCGGCAGGGATGGCCAGTGTTCAAAGAATCTCGCTCGCTTCCCAGGCTAGAATGATTGCTGCAAAGTGGCTGTCAGGCCAGGCACTGCGTTTCCTAGCCTTCCCTGCATCTAGGCAGGCCGCTCCCTGGTTCTGGCCAATAGGATGTGGGACAAGTGATGTATGTCGCCGCTAGGCTTGGCCCATAAGCATCTCCCTACACAATACTCTACGCTCTCTTTTCCCTTCTGTAGTGACTTTGGAGCCACAACATGGAAGGGGCCTGGGTCCCAGCATCATTGTGTGGTAGGCTTGCCACTGAGCACAACACTGGGCTGCTGTGGAGTGAGAATTTCTATTGTGTTAAGCCACTGAGATTTCAAGGTTTGCTTGTTTAGCATCTACAGTTCCCTTACCTGATACAGAAATGGGCACTTAGAAATGGAATGCCCTGTATGCCCACTAAGCTGACTTAGAACCCTATGAGGACAGGGCCATGTTCCATTCCATTCTGTACCCCAGCACCTAGCACAACACTGCAGATGTCCATTGATATCTGAGTAAATATATGAATGAATGTCCAGGGGCCTCATAGTCCATCCCAGCTTCTGGATGAAAAGCCTGGGGTCTCATTGCTTTTTTCTGAAGCCCTTCCTTTCCAGCTTCAAGGAGCAGAGAAATGAAGAAGGAAGGAGTGTTACATGGGCTGAGCAGAGCCAGGGATATGGGCCCCTGGGTGAAAAGAACAAAAGAATAATGATAATCACCTAATTTTGTTAGCACTCACTATGTGAGGGACTACTCTAAGTGTTCCCCAATGACTCACTGAGCTCACACAACAGCCCTCATATGATCATCCTCATTTTTAGGTGGGGAAACCGAGGCACCCCCACTGTTAGGAAAAGGAGCCAGGACTGAAAAATGAGGTCGGCAGCTGAGGGAGGGGAACACCTAGGCTTGAAGAAAGGTGTCCCTGAAGAACGCCATGTAAAATGGAACACATTTTAAACATGACAGGATTCTTCAACCCTGGAAGGCATTCTCCAGTGGGTAAATTCATGTTGTGACTTTTTTGTTAAGATCCATCATCTCACTCAAATGACTATTTCAGGGATGAAACCAGGTGCTCAAAGCTGTTTTCCTGTGAAACATGGGCTTCCTGTGAAAGGGAGGAGGCCCTGACCCAGAGGCAGGTCCTGGGTCACCTGAGGTGCAGAAGATGAGAGTGTGGGGCTCACCTGAGCGGGCGCCGATCCGGAACTGGGAGGAGCCCTCCAAGGAGTAGATGATGGACTCCTGGCCGTACTCCCGGGAGCGGTCCAGGTCCGTGGCATTCAGGATCAGCACCGTGGCTCCTTCCGGGAGACAAGCGGGGGCGGGGGGGGGGGGAAAAAAAAGGGGGGGGGGGGGTATCTGCTCTCACTATGGCCTTTCCCCAACCCCTCCCTGGCTGGTCACCATATTAATACACTCAGATTGACCAACTTTGACTTGGAGTCAAAAAGAAATGAAGCTCCATATTAAATTATTCTACCTTTATTATATTCCATTTCAGTCTTGTTTTATCTTGTTCACAAGGGGAATTTATTAGAGTTTTTATTTTCTATTCACTGTCCAGTTAAGGCCCTCACCCTCATTTCTTTCTTGGTGGAATCTGGGCAGTGTATCGGCCTCTCCAGCTGCCCTGGCCAGACCCTGCGAGCGGCTTGTCCTGCAGCCGAGCCGGCCAGGGCTTTCTGGGCCCTCCTGCCACCCAAATGCCAGCTCTGGCAGAGGGGCGAGCAGGTTCAGTGTGAGGATCTCTGGGCTGGAATCTGGTGGGACCTCTGCCAAGTGCCTTAACCTGTCTGAGCCTCAGCTTCCCCCTGTAAGACGGGTCTAACCATGAAGCCATGTGTGGGGCTGTCAGTGAGGGTCCCACGGATAAAGCGTGCAGGGCGCAGGCCTGGCCGGGTAGTGCTCACTGACCTGCAGCCGGGGTTACTACTGTGCTGACGAACCAACGGTCCCGGGGGGCGTAAGGGGCCAGGCAGGTGCTGAGGGACAGGGAGGTCATTCTGGGCCCTTCTAGGTAGCTGTGGGGCCTCGGATTTGACTCAGTCCTGCCCTAAGCAGGAGACAGATACGTGGGCCCTGACACACCACTTTAAGCAAGCACATTCAACTCTGAGGAGGAGTACATGCCCGATGGAGGCCCCTCCTTGGCAGAGTCAGGGGAGGTGGAATGCAGGGGCCGCTTCAGCAGTGACTCCCTCCAGGGGTGCCTGGGACTGGGGTGGGGGAGGGTGGGCCGGGTACAATCTGGTACCCACAGAGCAAGTCATCAGACACCAGGGAGGTTCCAGGAAGCTCTCTGTAGAAGGCTCCGAGGTGCCAAGGAAGGTCACCCCTAACTCCAGCTGCCCCGAATCCCCCAGCTGCCCCCGACTTCCCCAGCTGACCCTCAGTCCTCCAGCTGACCCTGACTCCCCTGGCTGACCCTGACTCCCCCAGCTGCCCCGACTCCCCCAGCTAACCCTCATTCCCCCAGCTGCCCCCGACTCCCCCAGCTGCCTCCGACTCCCCAGCTGCCCCCGATTCCCCCGGCTGACTCCGACTC